CATGTAGAGTGTGCTTTTATTACCTGACAGTTTCGGCGAAAACTCTCGCCTTCTTCAGAGATGACACTGACAGCGGGTGACGTGTCAGCCGGCAGATTTTGACAGCCGGCACCTGTCAGGTAATAAAAGCACACTCAACATGTCTGAATAGAGAACCTGAACATTATAGCATGTTTGAGTTGTGTGGAAATATGCCTTTCTGGATTGAGGCGTTGCTTAATTTTGTTATTGGTTTTGTAAGAGCTTCATGATTCTGTTTAATGATTGCTGTGTTTAGGTTGTGTATGTCTTTAGTTTTAGATTTTGAAAATCTGCAGAGTATTCTTTTAATTTCACTTTCTGTTGCCGGCTGCAGGCTGAGCTGGCTTTGACTCTTTCCCTAGTTCAAGCACTGAATTAATGAAGTAGTCATTGAAGCTGTTGGCTATGGCCTTGTTATCTGTTTGTATTGTTTCTTTATAAAGAATTTGGGTGATTTCGCTTTTCTCTTTGCACATCTTTTCGAGCCAGTTAAGGTTAAAGTCCCCCATAAGAATGATTTCCTTGCTGGTCATTGGTTTTATCATTTCTATCAGGTTGTCAAAAAAAAAACAGTCTTTAGCAGATAGTGGTCGGTAGACCGTTAGTACTACGAATGACATTTCTGCAGACAGTGTAATCTTAACAACAACACACTCAGACTACTTTCAGGTAGATTGAGTTGCGTACATTGTAAACTGTTTTTCACATAAATCATCACTCCTCCACCTTTACATTTTACTCTGTCCTTTCTAAACATACTGTAGCCTGGCACATATATGGCACTTAAAGGACTGGTGGGTTTTAACCAAGTTTCTGATAAGCATAAATAATTAAGGTTTGAGTTTATAAGTAACCCCTGAAGCTGCTCCGACTTGGAGGGGGCACTTCTTATGTTTAGGTGGCCGCCAAATATACCTTTAGGTTTTAGTGCAGGGTCCCACAAAACCCTTGCATGTTTTACTGTTTTGAATAGCTTTGTTGTTGCTTGCTTGTTAATTGCTACAGTTCTGGAGTTAGTGTCGCATGCCTTCGAGTTTTTACCAGGATTGACAGTCAAGTGATGTGAGGGGCGTGTCCTTGGTAGAGTTGTTGAGTTGCTATCCATAGCAACGTTAGCTCTGGAAGGCGATGGGTTGTTCCTTGTAAAATCCTCATCCATAAACGCTGTCAAAGGGGTGGTGGTCGCGAGTCGCGAGTCGCGTTCTCCGATGAGCCCCTGGTTCGCGAGTGGAGTTATCTTCCTCGATGTTCCTCGCTGCGCTGATGAAGGCCCAGGTGGATGCGCTGCTCCAGGTAGAGTCCACTGGGCTAGCTGCTGCGTCCAGGGCGATCACCTGTGTCCTGCTCCCCAGAAAAGTGGAGGAGTCACATGGGTGAGTTCGTCTAACCGTGTAGTGTGGTGAACAATAATTGCATACCTGGAAGTTGCCGGCAGTGCCCTTGTCGTAGGTTATTGGTTCGGTCTCGGTGCTGGGTTGTCACTAAATTATGCAAATTATTTAACTGAATCATAAATAATAGTTTGTTAATTATGAGTAAACTGGAGGAGATGCAACCCTGTTACTCCAATCACAGTAACAGGGTTGTAAATTCATGCTAATGTTAACTTTATCTCAGGACTAAAAACTAGCTGTTTAGGTAGGTGTTACTACTGACCAAGAGGACAATCTTACTAAAGCAAATTTGTAAATTTAAAAAAATTATGCATTTGTTTTATCCTGATAATTTGCTTAACAGGGTTGCATGGGGTAGAGTGAGATATTCAAGTAAGGCTGAAAATGTTACAAAAATATGAAGAATAGAAGAGAGGACATACCTTTGCTCTACCCATGCTTTTAGGAAACTGTTTGATGGTGTTAATTCCATTATGTCATGTGACTCACTGTTTTCTTCTACTACCACTATGCTAAAAATGTCAGGGTAACAGGGTTGCATGCATGTTGTGGGACATAGATTCCTTGCATAATAATTAATATTTAAAACATTTTGTTGATTAAAACAAATGTTTCCCCAATGACAAGAGACATCTATTAACAAAATAATACAGAAGAAAATAAATTTAAAATGTATTTTAATTGTTTTATGTGAGATTCAATTTGGTCAACAAGAGGCTGGGACAAGAGAAAAATTGCAATTTAGGGGGTACTCCAGACATATTTGATATTTTAAAAAATATTTTGAATCAACATTTTCTCCCAGTTTATTTGAATTTGGTCTCAGGACAAGTACAATTTATTCAAAAACTGTATGCTTTAATATTTTGTTCATGGATTGTATGAAATTTCATGGCTGGGACGTAAAATGTCCTTCAATTCTGGAATGACCGTTATGTTGTTTTTGTAGAGAACTATATTTTTTTAGTTTTATCGGGTAGAGTGGCGGAAGGATACGGGCTTGCAGTCTATAAATACCTTTCCGCTGCTCTTCATCTGAGTAAACGCTGACAGGATCGTGAGTGAAGATTGGTCTACACTGGTGTAACAATTTGCTTGTAAGTTGTTTATTTACTTTTATTTTTAGCTTTATACAGTTGCAGTGGCCATGTCTGTGCCATTTGTTGTATTTTACGTTATTTGTCATTAATTTAATTTAGCTATATAGTTAATTTAAGTGAGTCAACCTAGCTACGACAGCTGTTTGGGCAGCTAACGGTATCACGGCCTAAGCACAAAAGGCCACTTAGTGCCGAAGCTAACCTAAAAAAAAAAAAACCGTCTAGCAACCGGTTGTTATCGGAAATTGTTCCAGTAAATCTGTAAAGATCAGAAAACCAACCTTCCAAGAGATTAAATATATTTAGGATTCATTTGTATACCGGGTAACGCCAGAACTACGACAAATGCCCGACACCTCTACCGGCCCCCGGTTATCTTAGCAACGTGAGCTCATGAGCTTCGCTGCCCGTCAGCTGGTTTACCGGCCCAACAGTTTCCCAGCCGTTCAACAGAACAGCTGAGCAGCTTTCTGCGTTCACTTTAACACGTTTGTCCCAGTAAACTGTTGAAGGTATGGCTGTTGAGTAGACACAAAGCTTTGAACTGAAAATCGGTGAATGTAGCCCGATAAAACTGCAGCGTCCGATAGCTGTTAGCTTAGCAACGAATCCAAAATATTATTTTGGCGCAGCGTTAAATAATATTTGTATGCAAAAAGACAGTGTACTGCAAAGATGACACGAGTACTGATAAATATGTAAAGAACTATGCATTTCATCTATAGCTATTTTGATGTAAATCAGCGGACTTGACGTTTGGAGATTTTGTTTTTATTATCAGAAATGCTGAGCGACTCTCGGTAGGACTGAGCACCTGAAACTGTGATCCGCAATGTAATTTGTTCTACAAATAAAAAACTTCCGTATTTGTGTAATATAGTTAAATCATGTGATGGATCTTCAACACATGACACATTGTCAGCATATTAACTGCTCTCGATTCTAAAGTCAACAAATAAATGTAACGTCTGTGTCAACATCGTGTATAACTCAAATTATAGTTGGTATTTTTAACGGAGTTGTTAACATTTAAATTTGAAATACATTAATTGTTGAGCATTGCTATCCTCTCAGACATAATTTTCTACTTTGTTCAGTGTCACTGTAAACAGAGTATATTGCGGAATCATCACACAAACAAGCAGTTTGAACATTTGGGAACTGAGAATGAATCAATGTCGGAAAGAAAGCATTCAGCTTGGGTGCCCCTACTACATGGAATGAACTGCAGAAAGACCTAAACCATCCAGACCTAATTGCACCTGAAGCACTTAGTAAAATTCTAGGCAATGTGAGAAAATTGATCAGTGCTCGTGTTTTTGATTGATGTGCACTTTAATTCCTGCACTTTAAAATAACATTTGCATTGATTTCAAGTATGTTTTCAATTTGTACATTTTAATTCAACTCATGTAATGTTATATATCTGAACATTTTATGTTTCTTTGTAATGGTTTTTAATTATCTTGCTATATATATTTTGACGTGTGTTGCTACCTTCTTGGCCAGGTCACCCTTGTAAAAGAGATCCTGGATCTCAATGGGTCTTAACCTGGTTAAATAAAGGTTAAATATATAAATTAATCTTCGGTTGCGGCCCAGATTTATGTTGGATTCCTAAAGGATGCTTTCAGGTTAATTGTTGAAATGATTTTTTTTTTGTTTGTTTTTTGTTTTTTTTGAGTAGTGAAAAGTGTAGGTGCTCAGTTTGATTTAGGGAGGATCCCTGCATGTGTACAACTTTTTAAAATGACTGCTAGTCACCGTAGCTAGAGTGCTCATTGACTCATAGATGGGTTAACAAAAACTTGTTAATTTAACTGCTCATCAGTTCTCAGTCGTTTGTCTGCTTCTGGCCAGAGCTCATGTGTTTAAGACCAGATGGAGTCTACTGGGACAGCGTTCTTGTTTTAGAGTGGCTGAAGTAGCCAACACACTTTGTTGCGAAAATCATGTCTGTGGTTAAAAACTTATCAGCATTTGGAGTAATGTCCTCTCCATTCACACAAATGGTTCAATGATTATTGACAACATTGCAGACTATCAATTAAAACCAGTAATTGAACATTTGCATCCCATATGTAAATGATTTAAAATTTGTGTAATTACAATTTTTTTTTTCTGTCTACAGTGTCAAGATGCAGATCTTTGTGAAGACCTTGACTGGTAAGACCATCACCCTGGAGGTGGAGCCCAGCGACACCATAGAGAATGTGAAAGCAAAGATCCAGGACAAAGAGGGGATCCCTCCTGACCAGCAGAGGCTGATATTTGCTGGTAAGCAGCTGGAAGATGGTCGCACCCTCTCTGACTACAACATCCAGAAAGAGTCCACCCTCCATCTTGTCCTGCGTCTTAGGGGAGGCATGCAGATCTTTGTGAAGACCCTCACCGGCAAGACCATCACACTGGAGGTGGAGCCCAGCGACACTATCGAGAACGTCAAAGCTAAAATCCAGGACAAAGAGGGGATCCCTCCTGACCAGCAGAGGCTGATCTTTGCCGGTAAGCAGCTGGAAGATGGTCGCACTCTCTCTGACTACAACATCCAGAAAGAGTCCACCCTCCACCTGGTGCTGCGTCTGAGGGGAGGCATGCAGATCTTTGTGAAGACCCTCACTGGCAA